ACGCGATAAACTACGAGATATCACAAGAAAGGCAGGCATGATTGATATCTATGCACTAGTACTAGGGGCAGTGTTGGAAATAATTATTTATTGCTATATCTGAGGGTAGGACTTACATGTCCTATTATATACTTCACGGGCAATATTGTAACAAGTCACAATTTATTAACATAAAAGAAGTGCATGATGGTCATTCCAGCCCATCATGTCACTCTCTCTTTCTCTTCTCTCTACATCTCATCACTCCCCCCCGCCACCCCCCCTCCTTCCATCTTCCTCCTCTTTCCCTCTCTTACAACTCATAACTTCCTTTTACTTATCTTTTCTTCTTTACTTTGATCAATTTTGCTCTCCTATACTTTCAACTTCATTGACATACAAATGAGGGTAATCACGTAGTACATGCACCTGTGAACCCTGACTTCAATCATATCTCTAGAATTTAAGACTTTACAAATTAGATATTGTTGCAATGCTCAGTCCTAAGGTGCACTACAAACACAATTTCAAGCAAACATGATTGTGCTGAATCTAACAATACACTATGTGAGCCAAAGGATAAATGTTTGAGAAGCACAAGAAAACACTTTCCCCCTTTCAAAGTTTGAACATTTTGATCCAAGTTCTACATGTGATCTCCGAAAGTTCAAAATAAGTCAAATATTTAAGAATTTTAGGCTCTGAATTTCACATTAAAGGTTCGACCATTATCAGTACGCTGAATCCAGGGCACTATTGTTGGGACTAAAAATATTCATCCAATCTTGGAAATCTCAGTTGTTCGTCGAGGGGGATGCCAAAAATATCATATCCTAAGCTGCTGGAACCTCCCTCCCTCCTAGGTATCTTTCCTCTATTTTTTGACGAAATTGCGCATACTTGCAAGGATATAGTCGTCTACTGGATGCATACTTGGGGGACGTCGAACGAGTTCGCACATCTTTTGGCTAAGGTCGGTGCTCGAGCCCAAGCAGATGCCCCCATATAGTCACGACTTTTTGTGTTGCTGCATTGTTCATACTTTCGTTGCTGGTCTATCTCCTTTTTGGCTCTGGACCTCTGCGGGCGCATAGTTTTTTGCTTTTTCTGTGTACATCGCTTGTAATCGGGCAAGTCTTATAATCCCCAATTTTTTGTATAGGGTCACAAAGTAGTGACCTATTTTCTGATCGAGAGACCTGGTCTGTGGGTACTGCCGAGTTTCTCTCTTGTTCTCCGATGCTTTTCTAGTAACACAATCGTTAACCTCATTAAAAAAAAAAATTTCACATGAAAGACGACCATACATAGCACATGAGAGGGGAATTTAATCTTCAATAAACAACATAAAACAACAAAAGAGGAAGAGCAAAAAATTTAGGTGTAATCAAATTTAGATCATGCAAAAAAAGAAAAAAAAACAAAAAAAAACAAAATGCTGGAAACCAATATTCTGCTTCTTACAACATACAAGCATACAAAAAAGCCTGAGGTTCTCCACCAAAAGTAACTAGTTGTTTGCGGTTCATATTTCCCTGATGATGTTGAGCTAGTTAACTCCACTTCTATTCATCATCGAATTTTTCAGTACAAAACATTAACACCATTATATCTCGTAATTGTTGGTGTTTGTCGCCTTTAAAGCCCATGAGAGCATAGAAATAATAAATACAATGAATTGCAAACTTTAGTGGGAGTGTATGTTGACTGGCCAAGGGTTAGGAGGTCTATGGAGCAAGTCCTTGTCTCTTTTTCCCTGAGCACAACTACAAACATTACGGGTTTTTCTAGAGGGTCACCCTTTGTTGAGGTCAGAGAGATGCCCAAGGATGGTTTGTATGTCAGAAGAGCTTTGTAGTCTCCTGTGTCCAGTCGTACGATTTTGAGAACGAGAGCCAAATCATCAACAAAAACTCCGCACGGCATGTACATATAACAACCGCATTCTAGGAAGTAACCTTATAGAGGGTTACTTGCACATGTGTACAGAGAGAATCCTTACACTATAATGATATGTCCATGTGACTTGCTCTCTTTGGTTTTTTTATTTTTGGGTGGGGAGGAGGGGGGGGGGGGGTGTTGGCCCTGAAATCCAACTAAAGGACTCTGGTTCAATTGTTTATTAGCTATCTCTGAGAGGCTGATCATGAGCCCCTACACATTACTGTGGCTCATGGGTCTCGTTGGGCCGGTTTGAAAAGATAGTTGTGGATCATGGTTTTTGGCGCAGATGGAGTGCCCTGACAGTCATTTTTCTTTACCCATTAGTACCAATCCACTTCTAGTGGTCTTTCTGGGTGTTTTAAATTTTTTAAGAACTTTATAAATATTATTTTGAACTTCTTTTATGTTCCTATGATTTTTGGATTTTTTAGAACTTTTTAAAAAATATTTTTATGCACTAAAACTCTAAAAGGGCAATCTTGATATTTTGGAGATTTGTGGGGCACTGTGGCACCCAAATGGGTAACAAGGACCCAGCCCCACATTTGATGGGACCACATGAAGTAGGGCGTGGGGCCCACATGGGCCACATGCCCCACATGAGTGGGACACCCCACATTTCTACAACATTTAAGGGACTCCTAAAAGGGGGAAAGATTGCCCACTTGTTTGGGAAATCTTCCCCAAGATATTTGTGAAGATCTTGAAAGATTTAGTTGGTTGAAAATATCAAGGAAATCTTTGAAGCTTGACCAAGACTTTTGACTTTGAATTCTACAATTGTCTTTGTGAGAGAAAAGAAATTCTAGTCAAAATAGAAGACGAGATTTGATTGGTCTTATCTTAAATTGATTAGAAGTAGATATGGGTCAAAGCTTCAGAAGATAAAGTTCCTAGATTCCTCCCTAAATCATGATGGATGATTTAAGGAATGGATGACTTTGATGTTTTTCTCTTACCTCACAATATACCAAGAAATCTTTAGGTTAAATTGAATCCTAATCGAGATCGGAATACCCTATGGCTTAAGGCTTATATAAAGTCTTCCCCTCCTTCCCATCACCTAAAATGAGGCTGCACATGCTGTCCTAAAGATGTGTGGTTTATTGCATCGAACTCATGCTTGAAGCAATAAGCAAGAAGAAAGTCGTGGCCCCAACTATAAAGAAAGCAAGGGCCATCACGATATTCACATACAGCCACACCTATGTTGGCCATGATGAGGAATTTCACTGATAAGGACTTGGTAGGCCTGGAGTTAATAGACTTTCTGCCCCTTATTTGTGTTTGCATTCCATTATGGATAAAAAATACATGCTTAGGGAGATGTCTGTATCTCAAGTAATAGGCTCAATGCAAGTGGGCCAAAACAAGTATTAGGAAGATGGTGGCTGATCTAGTTTTGACACGAACCTCTTGGAACAGGGTTACTCGAGCCCTCGCAGCCTTTTGAACCATTAGTCAAGTTATTGTGCCTTGTTTATAGTGAGGAGTCAACTATGGGTCGTATAAACCAGGCATTGGAGGTTGCTAAGGAGGAGATAAAGAGCAATTTGGATTACAATGAAAAGATCTCCAATTTTGAACATAGTTGAAGACAAATGGAACTTAACAGGTTAGAGGGTCCCCTTCACCTTTCAGGGTATTATTTTAACCCTTCTTATTCATATAAAAACCCAAATATTGATAATATGGGATGCTTTATGTCGGTAATCAACGAGTGTTTAATGAAAATTGCCCCTGGTTTACAAGAACAAGACCAAGTGTCAAGAGATTTAGATAAGTACAGATTATCCATTGGTCTACTTGGTACTAAATTGGCAAAAAGGCAAATTAAGACACTTTTTCCAGGTAGGTTTCAATTTTGTCTTTTCATGGTGAGTTTGTGATTTGAGTAGTTTTGTTCTAATGATCTAAGTAGAACTTCTAAAACCTACTTATATAGATATCTACTCTATTTGGTTTTTTTTTGAGAAATGATTTCTACTCTATTTATTTTTTAAGTTCATGGTGGACCAATCATAGTTAAAGCGCTAGGCACTTACAGAAGATGGCCATGTGCATTTTGAGCCTTATACGCACCTCTTCTAGTTTGCAAGCGCAACTTTAGTTCTTTTGAGATGGTAATCTCTCTCTTGAAAATTTAATTTGTTGTCCACTAAATTAATATTGTTTAATATTTTCAAAATCATTCATTAATCATTATATTTGACTTAACATATAAATGCCAAGAGAAGAAACATGTTTGACCAGAAAAGACTAAAGTACTAAACGACCTCATTTTCCTTCAGTATCATCAAAAGCTCAAGGAATGCTACCTAGAAAGGGATACCATTAACCCCACCATTCAATGAGATGGATGATACATCACGTGGTTGGTCGATGCAGGAGATGATCCCATATACGAAGGAGAAGACTTGACTTGGAGCCAAGTACGACAGGCAATTCGGAGTCAATTAAGCCCCAAGGGGCCCACAAGATCTCAATCACGCCGGAAGAGATTGAAAAGAGAGGGAGGAGGAGGATGAGGCGGATTCACAGATGACTAGAGAAGAGGAAGAATATGTAGAGGAGGAAGATGGGCATCATCATCATCATCAAATAGTGGTTTGGTGGGCATCTTTTTTCTTTCTTTCTTGTTTAATTTTTTTCTCAATTTGACTTTTAGACTCTTAAGTAATTCAATGCAAGTTCATGGTTGATATATGTATGAAATATGTGTATCGGGGACTTAGATTAGGTGTTTTACTAGTATTTCTACAAAACTATAGTTTCTAAGATCATTTTGAGGCAACCAAACCCTCTAAACAACTTCCCTGGGCCCTAGACCCCTAAGTTTTCTAGACGCGCTGCCTAGTGAACTAGGCGCCCTCCTAGGTGGCTGAATCCGTATTTTTCAATATTGATGGAAGTAGAAATTCCAGTAATTAACAAATAAAAGATAAAAAATTTCTTGAATTTGTACTTTGAATTCTACATAGCCACCACACCTTACAGTAATTAGCAACTTATAATGTGTTATATAATGAAAACACCTTTATTTCCAATAGTGAGATGTTCAATCAATCATAAGTTACCTTCTGCAAATGAGGTTTTGCAATCGTGCTGTGAGGTTTTGCATACGTGCCCTCAATGGCAACATAATCAACAACAGCAGTCTCTGAGCCCTTTAACTTTCTTACTGATGCCTCTGATTTGGACTTCTCAATAATACTATAAATTGGCATGTCTGGGTACATTACCTGAAACCGGGTAGTAGGCAAAGTGTTAGACACCTCAGCAACAAATCAAACTTTGATGTTAGTTAGAGAACTTACCTGACCAACATATGGCAGACCATCAATATCAATCGTCTGTTTTGGATCTGGACCCTTCTTCCTCTGGTTGGTAGGCAATGCACCCGAAGCTTTGTCAATCCTACCAAACTCGTGAACTTTATCTATCTTTCCACGTGAATTATTTGTCAAGTCAACTGTATGCGTCTGAAATAGAGGCACCATCATTGCATAAATGATTTTGTTTGCAGGCAAATTTCCAAGATCGACAGTGGTAAATTTTACACCAATGAAAACAATGTCCATGTAATCATTTAGCAGCTCCAACATCATGGCTAAGAATGAAATATGCTTATACATTGTTTACGTCGCTTCAGTGCCTCCTAGTTAAGAAACAAATGTCTGAATTGCAATTATTTCCAGCAAATCCAAAACAAGGAAAAAAGAAAATCTTTTATTCCTGCAAATGTAAAAACCTCATACACTACAAAACACCAAGGATATTTTGGAAATTAACATCCGGTAGAAATCGTCACCCAGTCACGTTTACAAATATAGTAGAGATCTGTGTTTGTCACAATTGAGACATGTAAATAACATTTTGTTAATGAAAATATCCCACAAGCATGCGCGGATTCCTTGCATTGTGGATTGTATCCTTCAGCCATGAATACGTTTTGGCTTGTCTAACAAGATAAAACCAATAAGTATCGACAAATGCAGACTAAAAGCAGCAATCCGTTTGTAATCATTTAAGTCAAGAGTTAAACTCTCTATAGAAAAACGATTCTGAGAGGCAACTTAAAATGTGCTCCTTTCTCTTCTTTCTTATGACAGGATAAACATTCCAATTCATTCTTAAATAAAAAATCCACATCGCAACCTGATCATGAAGCAACAACAGCATAGAATCATTTATAAGCAAGAGATGAATGGTCACTTAGCCCCAAAAACAGCAGATGTAATTCTCATTCTCTAAGCAATATAAATGCTTGTTCACGTATAAACTAGATGAATGGAAAAAAAAGAAGTATAACTCCAAATTGAATCCCTATTTCCAGAGAAGGATTCATGATGAGTTCTAGCAAAATTTTATGTTGGCTGCCTACCTAATACAACCATGCCCCTTTAACCAGGCATGAGATGTGTTAAGGGACAGTTTAAGGTCATCACCCTTCTTAGACCATACTTCAAGAGAGGGACACCTGATAATTTTTAGGAGTACCTTAACTGAGAGCATGTAAGGTTTTCAAAATACTTGTGAAGAAAAAGTGAATAAGCTACGTAATTCAATAGCAAGAGACTGTCACTAAAAAAGTACTGGGGGCAAACCTCGTATATATGCCCATGACATAGACCACGCTCAACAGATGACTTATTCAAGATCATGGCATCCTCCATATCATACCTAAAAGGAAGTACATGAAGCACGTTAGAGCAAGAAACCATTAGAGTAGAAGAATACATCCACATTGAATAACAGAAACTTACCCAGAATAAGCTAAAACTGCAACAATGGCATTTGTGCCTGTTGGGAATTCATCCAAGGCATACTTATCGTAAGCAACTGTGCGAACAATGGGTGATTGAGGAGTCTATCAAGAGAATTTTGTGAAATGAGACCAGAAAAAAAAAAAATTAGATCCCATTATGCACAACACTTTGAATTACAAACCATACAAGATCAATAATTTATGAGAGAGACAAGTGAAGTCTCCCGAACAATGATGGAATTAAAAACCATCCAGAGTCTCTCAACTCCAGGAATTCTTAAGCAACAAGATGCAAATAGTTCATTTTAAAGGAGGATAGAAGAATGGAAGTTTCCTTAACAAAAACATCCAAGACCACAGTTGAGGCCTGATGCAATTCCAGTCATGCACATTCTTAAAGGTCCAATCCTAGCTATGACTTGTGAATGTCCATAAACATGAATTCATGTAGAATGTACTGCATAACACAAACCCATCCAAAAGAAACAGAAAATCACATAAACAACTATAGAAAACTATCATAAAATTCAAATGAAAGCGATTGAGAAGAAAAGAATAAGCCATCATTCTGAGATTGTACAATGAAAAAGCAAAAGTAGTAGTTGAAAAATATGAGTTATATCTTCTCTAACCAGCAACTACCTTATGGAGGAAGAGAAAAAGGAGGTAGAACGAAGGGGAAGAGGAAGAGATAGGTGTTGAGAAGAAGAGAGAGAGAGACGAAAGAGTTGTGTGTGTGTGTGGAAGAGAGAGAGAGAGAGAGAGAGAGAGAGAGAGAGAATGATGTAATTCCCTCTTGGGTTTCGTCACATATTTTATATTATTATTAATAATAGATAAAAATTACAGCAATGACCTTGTACAAATTTACAACCCTGTAGACTCCATTGTTCCAATTATATCCCTAACTTTACGAATGTATTTTCAACGTTAGTAAGTACTTGCACAACAGATCATATTAGGCTTGTCAACAACTAACTAGTATGCCAAAGTGCAAGCCGGTGGTACCCAGACACATTCACTCGTGGGCTTCCATACAGTTGAAAATATGCCCGACAAAAAAAAATTGAAAACAAATGAACATGTTCGCATAGTGAAGGCCAACCCCAAAAGTGATTTGGTTGGACACATAGTTACCAGGATCATCCAACCTAGGTGTCGATTCGAAAAGTTACCAGGATCTTCCAACCTAGGTGTCGATCCCGCTATGGTATCTCGCTTGCGTTCCCTCATAAGGATCTCCATGGGATATCGATCCCCACTTTTGTTGGGGTTTGTGGCCTTTAAAAGCCTTGGAAGCATGTCAAAATAAATAAATAATTTATGGTGGATATTCATACTCCAATGCAAGTGTTGGCTGACTGACCTTGGATTGGGCGGTTTATGGACTAGTCCTGTCCGAAACCCTTACCCCAGGGCATGGGCACTACTACTGAGGGTTTTATTGGGTCATCCCTAGTTGAAGTCAAAGAAATACCTAGAGATGATGGCGAGCGTCAAGGAGAGCCATCGGAATTCATGTGTCCAACTACCGACCTGTAAGAGCAATGAAAGAAGTGACTATGTGGAACTCAAGGTATTAAATTGAAAAAAAAAATTTATTTCTATTCCAAATACCTGAACCATAATCAATGGATCGAAATTAGCAACAATAAAGGCACTCCACTTGACCCAAGAACCATGATCCACTATTGTTTTCTTGTATAACCCAACAAAGATTCATGACCCACAATATCGATGCAGAGGCTCATGATTGGCTTGTCCAAGTAGGACAATAAACAGTGGAAACATAATCATGGAATGTGGATTTCAGTCCCCCCTTTAAGGGAAAGTCCAACACTTGTCACTACAATGTACAAGAGACTCTCTCTATGCCTATGTACACGTGTCGCTCTATAGGGCTGCTTCCCAATAATGTGGTTGTCATGTGCGCATGCCCTACGGAAGGTTGTTAAGGCTTTGACCCTTGCTCTTACAGGCCTACAACCGCACACAGTAAACCACACAGTTCTCCTGGCTTACAAATATCATCCACGTGCATTTCTTCGACCTCAAGAAGGGATGACCCACTGTAAAGCGTTCTCGGTAGTACCACATGCCCAGGGGTAAGGATTTTGGATATAACCAGGGTCATAAACCACCAAACCCATGGTCAGTCGACACACACACCCATTGAAGTGCATTTCCACTATTAATTATTATATTTACAAGTCTCTATGCTTTTAAAGACCACAAAACCTAACACAATGGAGGAGAGAAAGGCTCAATAACCCCAAAAATATTATAAGAAACAAATTGTGAAATAGTATGGATAAATTCTTCTGTTTCCACATTGCAGTAGGTAAATAAACATAGGCAGATGATTATAAGAGCTCAAGAATGAGAGAAATAAGCCTAGAAAAGAAAACTGGTTAGAGAGTACTTGTTCTTCACGTTGTCCTTCAATATTTCAAGTAAAAGTTTTCCTTCCCAAACATCTTAACATCAGCTCATAAACATTAGGAACAAGAGCATTACCGCATAAATATGCAAAGCTTCTTAGCATCTTAAGTTCTCATCTTCTTGCCAAATACCTAGGGTATGGACTTGGAAGAAGGTAGCTGAATCCAAGATAGGCATAACATTTTCATAAGCTGGCATACAATGTCAAATCCCCTCATAGTAATTTATGTCATCCTCCCATTGTGTGGCATCAAGAAAAGACTCTTCGGAGAAATATGGAGAAAATGACATACCGTGAGAAAGATTTTAAACCTCAAAGGCTGCAAAAGAACATCCCTCATTTGAACCATTCAAAAGGGTTATACCCTTTTCTCTTAGTAGAGTGTACCTCATTGGATTGCCTTTGCTATTTAAAAAGAAAAAAATGTGTACAGTACCGTTTGCTTGCTCTAACTCAAGTTAGATGCATACTATCTTCTCATTGAGTATTAACTTTATGGAGAAGAAATATTTTCCGAGTACCAGTAACTCCCTCTAGATATCCTTTGCTCATTCCCAATAAGCAACGTCCTATTTTGAGCACAAGAGTTTGTGGCTTGATGAATAGACTCTTGAATTCATCTCTCCATTATTAAGCTGATATGGAAAGAAGTGAATGTAGTTTGGCTATTGTACAAGTAGTTTGGCTATTGTACATTAAACAGCCAGATTTCTGCTTCAACATACTTATCATCCAGCGATATATCTCTGTAATCTTCCATTTCTTCACAGCACGACAATAAGTTTACAGGTCACTACTCTATAAGCAATCTGCTTTTGTCGCATTTAGAAAGAAATATTACTATGGTCATCCACTAAGTAGCTAGTAAATGATCCTCACACCCATAACCATAAAGTGTTTTTCAGTACCAAACAACCAGATGTCAACTTCTCACTATGACAAGTCAAAAGGAAATCTCCAAATCTCTCTGATGCTAAAGCCAGTAAATGAAACACTCGAATGAACATATTGCTACATTGATCACATTAGTTGTGTATGGTGCCATTTAACGGTTATGTCAAGAAAACACTCCAACACTATCTGATGCTAAACATATGAAAATGAAGTAAAACACTTGAATGAAACTAATAACACAATACTAGCTAATCACCCTCCTTTTTTTTGAAGCTGTTAACTGAATACTAGCTAATCACCCTCCCATAATCACTGCGAAGAACCAAAAAGATTTACGACAATCACAAAGAACATAAGCACAGAAAGTGAATAAACATAATTTTTTCATAACCTGAAATCAATTGCAAAAAAAAAAAAAGAGGTGTTAAAAGTCCATTAATAGCCAAATACTTACTTGAAGATGGAATAGCTTGTTGTCAGCACGGAATTGTAGCGCCTGTGAAGAAAATCCCATGGTCTGCTTTGCCATCTAAATAGTATCAAAAAAAAAAGAACATAAAGAAAAACATTATTTCCCAAAATTAAAAAGCAGTCAGACTAGATACACCCATTTTCAACATCAACCAGTGCCAAAAGTTTAATAAATATAAGCCACTGGTGCAACAGTAACAATCCAAATGAAACCAAAAACCTAACCTGGCATTGATACATATTACGGGGACTTTGATTATGGTCGGACCACGGCGTTAGACTAGCGACAACACTAAGCATTGCTGTTGGATGGATCTCTTCATGAGTTGCTGGAAAAGAAGGAATTCTCCTACCCCCATCTCCACCATCAAGACATTTTATTTCCATAAATGCCTGTCATTATTGAATAAAGAACATTCAACTAGCCAAAAAAACCCATACCAATAGAAAAGAAAGACTAGCTAAGTCTAAGAAAGGTCCACGTAGTGCTTCCATAAGGAAGATAAAAGCAAGTTCACCTACATTTCAGAAAGACATGTTTTATACACACACTCAAGATGAAATTGTAACTAGTCATAAACACCTGCTCAAATGGCCCGATAAGTTCAATTTCTGAACGTCCTCCAGAAGGGTCGGCAACATTCTTCACTGGTCGAACCAATCTGGATGGAGAAGTGAAGAGAAACAATCCAGGGAAGGCCCCACCAAAGCTCAGGGGCACATAACCCACCTCCAAGTCATCCGGAATCTAGGAAGCAAAAATATCAAATAAGTTAATCCCCACATTACAAGCATCAAATGAACTCTTTGGCATTTATAGAATTCACTCAAAGGACATTTTAAAATGAAGTGTATCACATGTTCTACGAAAAATAAAAAGTACCAGGATAAACAACTGGACAACAGAAATTTTGTGACAGCAGAAAGGTATGCAAAATAACCACGAGCCCAGTAGCCATTACGCAGTTAAGGGTGGTGATAAATCAGAAAGCTTGAGAAGCCCACTTTGTATTATTATGCATCAAAACGAATATAATCTGTGACCAATTTCTAACAAGCACTCCCAACATCCTCATTATTAGAAGTTCAAAACACGGCACCATAGCATAATGTTAATAGGATAATGATTACAAACACATTTGTGGAGATAAAGAAAATACAACCAATTCAGAAAGGAAGCAACCTTCACATCCTCCAAAACAAAATAGCTACCATGGAAAGCTATATACCAGATGTAAATAGCACTTACAAAGTAAACAATAAAAAACACCAGGATAAACTACTGGACTACATAAATTTTGTGACAGCAGAAAGGTATGCAAATAACCATGAGCCCAGCGGCCATTACGCAGTTAAGGGTGGTGATAAATCAGAAAGCTTGAGAAGCCCACCTTGTATTATTCTGCATCAAAACAAAAAATTTCTGCGACCAATCTTTAACAAGCACTCCCAACATCCCCATTATTAGAAGTTCAAACACAGCGCCACAGCATAATGCTAATAGGATAATGATTTACAAACACATTTGTGATGATAAAGAAAAATACAACCAACTCACAAAAGGAATAAAAGAATAGAAGCAACCTTCACATCCTCCAAAACAAAACGGCTACCATGGAAAGCTACATACCAGATGTAAACAGCACTTATGAAGTAAACATATGAATTGATTCACTTAATAGGAACACAAAAGACAATGAAAGCTAAAAATAATGAGGTCTAAGTGAAATAGTTTACTTAGTCATAGTCTACTAATTGTAATACAAAATCCCCAAATGGCTACCCACATAATGGGCGCTCTGTGCAAAAATGGTGTTCTAAGAGCCAGTCACAGCAGTTTAATTTCTAACAAAAAAAAAACATAGCACCCATCATATAACAGTCCTTTACAAAAGCGAAAGGAGTGGAGAGAGGAGATAGGAAGGAGAGGAAGAGAAGATGAGGTAGTGAAGGAGAGCGAATGTCAAGATGACGAGTATTGCATCCCCATTCCGTTGCCCCTGCCCATTCCTTTGCCATTGCATCAGCAATGAGGTTGGCCGCCATCAGTATTTGACTAAACCTTACCTGGAATGCTGCATAAGACACATATGTAGTAAACAAGGTGGGTTTGTCTCCATGGGGTTTGGGTTCTGTTTGTAGCCCAAGATATGATGCTTCTGGAATCTCCCACCACTATTAAATGGGTAGTGTAAATGGTACCCTGAAGAGTACGTTAATCTCTTCCAAAAGTGCCAATGTTGTCATCATGATGGAGTCCATATGAAGCCTGAGAAGATGGAATCTGTACCCTTTCGTGATTAGTTAGGACTCCCAAAAAACCCGAGGGGTCAAGTGTCCCAAAGGGCACAGCAATCAACATTCAACTTGAGAGAACATTGAGGCAGAAGCATCCAAGTCACTCGAATGCTTTGTGTCCTTGGATTTAGGCACAATATGCTTCCCCAATTTCCGAGGAAGGCTGAGTTACCCAAGTTGTTGCGAGGAGATAGTTGCCTGGCCCAAAAATATTGTCTTGGCTGAGTTACCCAAGTTCAGCTTTCCTGCCCTGCCTCTGCCCAAAAATGAAACCTGTGTCCTTGAACACGGAATATGTGGGAAATCCTCTCCCTCCAAATGCCCCATAACGTAGAAAAAACCAACAATGTCCAGAGGAGGTATCCTCTTTTGGGCAGAGGCAGGGCAGGAAAGCTGAGAGCAGTGGCTCAATGGATTGTGGAGTGACCCACTGCCACTCACAAAGCTGGAGTAGGTTAGACCACAGTGGGGTTATGGAATCACAATGTAAAAATACATGGTCAATGGTCTCTTGTTCTTGTAAGCACATGACACATCGGTTGGACAAATGAAAGCTTCTCATTTGTAATTGGTTTCTGTAAGGAGTCTACCATAGGCAGAGATCTTCCCAAAGGCTTGAACCTTGTGGGAACAGCGGCAGCCCAAATTTAACTGAAGATAAGCTTAGGACTTTTAGGGTGCTGTAAAGTTGAGTAAAAGGAGGCGACTATGAAGTCCATGATGGCATTGGGGACCTCAATCGTTTCCCGTCAGCCTCCTATAAAAAAGCAATGGCCACGCTCCTAGTGGGCTCGTTGCGCTCACGACTGAACTCGCTTTTGGGCAAGAGCAAAAAGGGCTCTTTACTACTTTGGCTTTGACAAGACTTAGCTAACGACTGAACTCGCTGGGGCTTTGCTCCTAACATTGAAGTAGGTTGAGAAGGTCTGCGATGTGCTCGATTTCCGGTTCCTTGAGAGCTTTTCTAAATTTCGGAGCCAGATGAGATGGCCTCCTTCGGTTCTATTACTTCCACAACAATAACCTCTTCATTGGCTGCAATTGCTGGGCCAACCACGTGAAATGCTCGGCGAAAAGAGCTCCGAGGTTCAGTCATCCCCAGCTCATTCAGTCTACTCCATGTAGCAATGAGCAAAGACAGTGGTAGCAGCCCCCAAAGTCTAGTCTCCCATCCACAAGTCTTTCCAAAATCTAACATGGTCCCCTCTTCCTAGTCTGAATCTCGTCTTTTCCCTGAAATTTAATCTACTCCTAAGGATGCTCTTCCATGCACCAGAGGCTCGATGGAAGTGCACTTAAAGAAATTGCCATCATCGTTAGTGCCAGTCTTAGCTTGCATAACCTCTCTCCCAAGCTGGTTATCTGATGGCCAATATTAACTGCAGTAGGCCCTAAAAACTCTCGAAACCTTAGGCCTTTTAGCCCTAATTCTCTGCAATTCCGGCAACCATTGAACCCTAAAAACTAGAGAGACAAGCCCTCTCAAGTAAATGAAAGCCCTAAGCCATGATTCAAGTTCAAGTTCAAGAAAACCATAGGTCTAAACCCCTTCCAGTTCAAGTCCAAAGAAATCTCTGATGCAAGCTAATTTAGAAGGCTGAGGAGAAGGGTGCCTCGTCAATTAAATTTGATCAGGACCCCAACTTCGGGTGCCAGGCCTGTGGGCCAGGCTCGCCCTAGGTAACCCTCTTTTCTCTTCCCTTTCGATGTTTACAATGTTATTTTTCTGAAGGTCTTCCGAAACCCTTTTCCTTGGTTTCTTTTAAACCATTTTAAAGCTTTTATTCAGTTCTAAGAGATCCTACGCTGGCACAGCTGACAATGTATGGGAAAGAGGACTAAATCGGTCTATTTTTCAGATTTAATTCAACTGAACCCACTTCTCCATCGATTTTTAAAAATTAACTAAGTTTTGTGCAAATCAAGGTGGAGTAGATCTAGTGTCATCTCGCCTCAAATTTTCAAGTGTAAACTCATAACCTGTAAATGACTAGTATATTAATATTCATAGTTTTCATATCAATACAGGAAAGAATCCTACTTTAAGACTAAAAGAATCCAATATAACCCATACCCAGGCAACATATAGCTTACATAGTAATTTAGGTCCAGGCGGTATTAGGGATCTCCCTCAGATGCTGAGAGGGCAGGATGTTACTACCATCCTCAGGCCTGACAGAAGCTTGCAGCTCCTCCATTCAAGAAGCATAGGATTACTTACATTGCATGCTTGGCCTTCAAGGGGGATAGGGCATTCAAAGGGGATAGGGCCTTACTACGGTAGGAGGTGACTGACTCAATGATAATCGAAGGTCAAAGGAAGAGGCTCTAGTTGATGCTTAGAGGTAATTTTTAAACATATGTTTGACATTGATGAATCGAGAACTGTATCTATGGAGTTATAATGCAATGGCATGCTAATGCCTGATACTAGATATTTACAGTGCTACTCAATGATATGTCATCTCATCTCATCATCATCGTGACATTGCTATCTTATTTGTCTCTCTCACGTGTATCCTATGTTTCATAATTATTTTTCTTTTTGATATATTTTTTTTTTTTGACAAGTTAATGGTGATTTTTCCTTTTGAGAGTTAAATTTTTTTTGGATTTTTCGTTATTATAGTGACCGATCAAGCAAAATAATGCACTAAACAGATAAAATAAGATCAAGCAATACGAACATTACAAAAGAAAGACCCACAGAAAGCACCTCATACAACTAATTAAATCAAAGAAGATAAGATGGCTACTACAAAAGATAGAAAGTGGTCGGAGCTCACATATGGAGATTTAGTGCGACAAAAGAAACCCTTTCTTTTTTACACAAAACCAAATAAAATTTGATTAGAGTTTGTAGTGCCAAAAAGGTCATCGCGATTCTAAGGCAACCTAATGAAAGTTCCACATGCCAAGGACCACAAATACCTTGCCTAAGAAATGGGACGATGTGAACTAGCACAATCTATTTAGTTTAAAATGTTTCTTTTACAATACCGGCTAGAACACTTACATATGTCCACGTATTATAATTAAAACTCAAATAAATGAAAAGAAATACAATAAATAGATTCTCACTTGCTGCCTCTAATGGACTTTGCATATTCCACACCAGATCTCTCCACCGATGGTGCACAGGATCTAGGTCTTTCTTGAATCTCAAAAAATGGGAAGTAATGCCATACCCTTTTACTCAAATATTAGAAAGCATGCATTCAGAACATGGGATTTTTCTCTTCTTCACATTCTATATGGGGAATGCCCTTTCTATGTGTTAGACCCTAGGGGCGTACCCCTCCTTTTCTTTCTTTGAACCTATGAGAGAGAGAGAGAAGAGTGGAGGGAAAGCGAGAGAGAGAGCTCAAGTCTTAGGGTAAGAAAGGAGACCCCCCATTGAGAGGTGATGCTACGATTATGGTTTCTTAGGGTTTGGCCATCCTTATGAAATTTCATCTAGATCATTGATCGAAGGTGATCTATGGGATGAGAGATCTTAGCCATACAATCCATATATCAATCATCATGACCTAATAGAAGGTGCTAGACCCTTATCCCTCAGCTTCCATATATTCAGTTGTACTATATATCCAGGTATCATATGGTTTTAGAACTCAACTCGACCGAACTCGTCGAGCTTATTCTAAGTCATGGCATCAGTATTGCCAACTTCGGTCTGTCTGGACCATACTCCCACTGCAGTTCATTATTCCACTATCATGAAATTAATTACATGTTCTCGTAAGGTCTTTAAAAGGCCACAAAAACCCAACAACCTCATGGATTAAAGACAGCCATGAATCAAAAAACCCTTAAAAGAATTTTAAAGCTCCCACCCTATGCTTAAAAACAACTCAAACATAAAATCTAAGAGACAACTTAAACACAATATATAAAGTAACAACACGTCATAGGGCTCAACATGGCCAAAATATTAACATAACATGCCACTCTAATACACATGATGCAAAGTGTTCCACAAAAACTAATGATTAGAAACTTAAGATGCCAAAATGAAACAATGATCAAAAGGCAAGAAGCTCACTGGTGAACTTGCTCTGAACTTTTCCCTACGGAGCTTTGCGACAGCGTCCTCCACTTTGTTGGATGCAATCAAGCCAATGACACGGCCGTCAAGAAGCACATTTACAAAGTCAGGAGGGCCAGCTTTCTCAAGATTTGGCAATGAAATCATTCCATTATGAACCAGTGACCTCAAAATGGACTTCCGTATGCGTAGAAAATCCTTAAGATTTCCATTGCAATCGAAATGTGATGTGACTTCTGAAGATATACAAGCAAACAGGAATTAGCTATAGAGCATAAATTCTTACTTTTAACACTATGTAAAAGAAGGCTGGTGGGCATTGGACTAAATTGCATTTGCTACAACATATTAGAAAATACATCGAAATTGAAAATTTAAGCAAATGCAAGTGAATTAACATATCTCAAAATAACATTATAGCTTAGCAGAATTTAGACCTGCACATGGTTGTATTGATTTAGAGAAATCATATGACATGGTGAGAGTTAATTTGGTGGGTGTTGGAAAAGAAAGGAGTCATTAGAGGATATATTGACACAGTGAGAGATATGTACGAGGAAGCGCAAACTAGTGTGAGGAGAATAAGTGGAGACACAAGCGAGTTTTTAATGACAGTAGGCCTGCATTAGGGGTCAACATTGAGCCCATATCTCTTTGTTTTCATTATGCATGAGTTAACTAGGCATCTACAGGATGAGGTGGTGTATGTTGTTTGCGGATGACAAGGTTATGATTGATGAAACTAGAGATGATGTTAACGCAAAGTTCGAACTATGGAGGGATGCTCTAGAATCTAAAGATTTTAAAATAAATGGACCAAGGCTGAATATATGGCATACAAGTTCTGCAATAATAGGAGTAGAAACGAGGAAGTAGCCAAGGTTGATGGCTAAAAAGTACCTAGAAGAGATTATTCTCCATATCTTGGGTTAATTCATGAGATTTCAGCGACATGACTATACCTTAAGTTTCTCTAGGCCCATACATGAGCAGCTGACACAAAAATAGCATAGCTAGTTATATTTTTATATCTCACTGTCAACTTCATGCACAAAGACTGATTAGAATAGAGACATAAACACGAACTCAATTGAGAATGAACTAAGTCTGATCACAATGAAAGGCTATCTTGCCTCTTTTTATAAGAAACTGCTTTCATTCACCAGACATGATAAATGTAAAATCTATAAATCTCTTACCCTTTGAAGGACAAACAAATTTCAAGTAGTTCCACATAATCATAACTTATTCCCCTTGCTACCAATCTTATAGGCCAAATAATCCAAACTTTACAGCTGCATTTTCCTTGTGAAAGAACATTAGGGGTACCACACTTTTCCAATGAGTGTAAGAGGAAGTAAAGTAGTGCTAAATGGGAATAAGACACTAAAACAAAACATAACTAACAAGATAGAAAAGAAACGCACTGCAATTAGATGTCATATGATTCAGCAAACCACATGGTTCCCCATCAGGTGTATGAACAGGGCAAAGGAATCCCCAGGACCTGAAATCAGAGCATAATAAATGTCCATCACAAACATGTAGCAGAGCCTATGGAACTTCAAATGAGTTCATAGGGTATGCATACTCTGGCAGCAACTTTCGAACACTTGTTGTACGCATTGTCATGAAAGAAGATCCTCTATGAACAGATCGAAAATGAGAAAGGAAACGGTAGAAGTTAAGTCTTTCTGCAACAATTGTCAGGCCCCTGACCTGTAAAAACATGGAAAAATATTTATTACATCAAGTATAATACAATCTGTCTCAGGTAAAGATGAGTAAATGAATAATAATTCACACAATCAATATGCAACATAGAAGATCAGACTCCTGAAAGTTAGCAAGGGAAGACATTTTAACATAAGCAAAAGACTTGGCAAGATCTACAACGAGGTATATTTAACGAATGTTGGTGCCTATCAGATCATTATTTCAACAAACATTTTCTCACAGGATGATAATAGATAACATCCAAATGCCAGGAAGCAAAGTGCGATGCACAGTTCAACATTTTCAGAATAATTTCAAATGGAAAGTTAGATATAGTTCATGATAACAGACTAAGAGTTAGGTACCACAAAAGTATTCGTGTAAGCTCTTCGTAATGCAAACTAAATATCAAGGACACAAGCTTATTAATTAAACTATTTACTAGGAAAATCACCAGGGTAGCCTAAAGCAGGACAAGATGCCTCTAATTTTCAACTTTTTCTTATATTTTAGGGGTGCATTTTCTAAAGTTTTAGGATTTACTTTTCGAGTTTTTAGGTTTTCTCTAGGGATTTAGGGTTCTTCTATGTTTTTAGGATTTAAGTTGTTCAGAAAGGCAGTTATTGCGCTTATGGAATATTTTATTTTCTCAAGGATAAAAAGGTCATTGTGAAATTTATTTTAATTATGATTTCTATTGCAGTTAGAATAGGAGTTATTGGGCCCTAAGAAAACCCTTTTATTATAAACAGGAGTTTGAATAAGGTTTTACATAGAGTGGAATTTTTAAATCTTATGCTTGGTTGTGGACAAAGCCATTGAAGCCTAGCTTGTGGGCTTCTTCCTCGTTAATCTTGAATCAATCGATTACTGGATTTATTCCCCGAGTAATTTTCTTTCTACATCAATTTGGAATCAAAGCTCAAGTTTCTTCAATGGCTATGCTAGGGAATTATAGCCAAGTCTAGGGTTTGCTGATTTTGAGCTAAGGTGTGTTGATTTTAGCCTAGGATTTGCCAAATTCAGCCTAGATCTTGCTAATTTCTGCTAAGTTTAAATGATTCGTCATTGTAGTATAGTGGAATAAAAAGAAAAAAGAAAGGTCGATGGGGGTGGGGAAATTAGAGTTGATGACAGAATGATTGAGATGTTCAAAGTTATGGGCTTCCACCATGACGGCTCAGAAGGACCAGCTCACAAGTTCCTTACGGCTGCTGCACATAGTAGGATGAAGGTGAGATTCAAAGGACAACGAGAACTGTTGAATTTATTCTCATCAATCGCCTATGAGGGTCAGTCTGCTGGTGGCCCCCTGGCTGCTCCTCCCACTAACCGTCATAGGAGATCATCTAGAGTGGCCTCCTCCTCCTCCCCTTACCCTAACACATGAAGATCCTAATATGGAATGTTAGGGGTCTGGGACAGGCGTCTAGAAGGGACGCGGTTAAGGACCTAGCTACAAAACACTCCCTTGCCATTCTTGCCCTCATTGAAACCAAGCAACCTGAGCCCTCTCTCCAGCTCATTCGCCAGGTATGGGGTACAAGATCTTTCTAGTAGGTCTCCCTGCCGGCAAATGGGGCTTCAAAGGGCATTTGGGTGATCTGGAACCCCTCAGATCACACCCTTGACTGCTCTTTCATAGGGGAATTCTCAATGATTATTCTCCTCTGTAGTTGTCCAGATGGGATCCCATGGAAATTCACGGCCGTTTATGGCCCAAATTCTGCCTCCCTCAGACACAGGCTCTGGTCTGAGTTAGATCAGGTAGCTGCCATACCTCATCCTATTTGGGCTCTGGGTGGAGACTTCAATGTCACTAGATGGCCCTATGAGAGGAAGTCCTCCACCTCCATCTCTCAGGACATGAGAGATTTCTCTGAATTTATAAATCGGCAAGAACTCCTTGATAGCCCCCTTCAAGGTTGTCGTTATACTTGGTCTAATCATGCTTCTGAACCCTCTCTCTCTAAACTTGATAGATTTCTCCTTTCCCTTAATTGGGAGGAATCCTTCCTGACCTCCTCTGCGATAGCCCTACCCAACCCCACGTCTGACCACTGTCCCATTCTTCTTGATACTATGGCAGTTAGAAGAGGCCCAAAACCTTTTAGATTTGAATTGGCTTGGCTCCAAGAGTCGTCGCTCTCTACCCTTATCCCAACCTGGTGCAACTCCTTCTCATCCCAGGTTAGGGGTAGGGCAGGCTATAGACTCCAGACGAAATCCAACTTCTAAAAGCCTCTCTCAAAACCTGGAGCAGGTCAACTCCTTGCAACTATTCCCTAATCAAATCCTCCCTCTTGGAGTCTATCCAACAACTGAACCACCTTGAGGAATGCAAACCCTTGAACACCACAGAAAAAGATCTTAGAACACAGTCCAAGATGGAATACCTTTCGATCCTCAAAAAAGAAGAGATTTACTAGTATCAAAGATCAAGGATTAAATGGCTGAAAGCAGGTGACCTACAACCGCCTTCTTCCATCGGATTGCAAATTGTCACATACGTGACAATACTATCTCGATGATTAAATCCAACAATCACTGCCTGGTCCACCCAAAAGAAATCGAGCAGGCCGTTCTGGAGTTCTTCCAGACTTTGTACACTGCCCCTTCTGTACCGAGACCAAAAATGTCTTCCCTAGACTTCTTGACTCTCCCTATAGACCAAGCTGAGTGGCTAGAGCAACCTTTCTCTGAAGAAAAAATCCCACAAGCAATTAATGCCCTGGCCAAAGACAAAGCCCCCGGTCCAGACAGTTTCCCCTTTACCCTTCAAAATCTTTGGGATACCTTCCGCCCTAATTTCATCCATTTTTTTGCGGAATTTTTTCACAAGGGAACTATCCACAGAGCGATTAATGCTACCTAGCTATTGTTCCCAAAGTTGAAGGGGCAGAAGACATCAAGGACTTTCGTCCTATTAGTCTACTAAACTCCTCTTACAAAACCTTAGCCAAAGGCCTGGCCTCTAAACTCCAACAGGTCCTCCCCTTTGTTATTACCCCACCTCAAACTGCCTTCATCCAAGATAGGCAGATCCTTAACGGGGCATTGGTGGCCCACGAGTGTATCCACTCGAGACACCTAATCCAAGCTACCGGGCCTAATCTTCAAAATTGTTTGGGAGAAAGCATATGACCACGTGGACAGATCTGTTCTGGAGCAATCCATGGCTAGAATGGGGTTCCGGGACCAGTGGAGGAAGTGGATGAGAGGTTGCTACTCCCAACCCAAAAGGATACTTCCCATCCTCGAGGGGGCTTTACCAAGGGGACCCTCTCTCTCCATTTCTCCACTATAGCGGCTGAAGTCTTTAGCCGCTCGATTTCTGCCCTTTACCAGGCGGGTATCCTCTCGAGCTTCAAAAGCTGCCTGCAAGGCCCAACTGTCTCTCATCTGCAATATGCGGATGACACTCTTGTTTTTCTTGATGCCTCTTGCCATGAAGCCGACTCCCTAAAGCTCTTCCTTAGTTGTTTTCAGATCGCTACGAGTTTCAAAGTAAACATGGTCAAATCTAAAATGATGGGAGTAGGCCTATCAAACTCTGAAGTAAGAGACATCATCCCAGATTGGGAGTGTAAAGTGGAGGACCTTCCTACTACTTACCTTAGTCTTCCCTTGGGCCTGGGAAAACCGGAAAAGAGACTTTGGTCTCATATCTTGGATAAGGTAGATAGAAGGTTGGCAGGATGGAAAGGTAGATACCTTTCTATGGCAAGTCGAACCACCTTGATCAAAGCCACCTTAGCTAACTCCCCGTTGTACCTCATGTGCCTCTTCCACATGCCTGCTCAGGTGGCCAATCGCCTAGAACAACTCATGCAAAACGTTTTGTGGTCAAGGCAGCTGGAGAAGACAAAATTTCATCAGGTAGCATGGGAGAACATTTTCCTACCTAAAAAATAGGAGGTCTAGGGATTCAGACCCTTAGAAAACAAAATACGACACTACTCGAGAAATGGTGGTGGCGTCTAGCTACTCACCTGACTCTTTTTGGGCTAGGATCCTACGAAGTAAATATAGAATCCCGGAAGGAGCTTGGATGCCGGATAGAAGACAGTGGCAGAAAGCCTCAGGAGCATGGAAATCTTTTCTTACCTCTCTCTCACAATTCAAAAGATGTGTACGTTTTCATCCTAGAGTGGACAAAAGAGGGAGCTAGAATCCAAGAGGAAGAAAACACCAGGTTCCACTCCTTTTTTCTCACGGACAGGCACACTTCGTAGCTTCCCTGGTTTTTGTTTTATCTTTTGGACAATGCTTGTAAATCATTGTAAACGGGCAAGTTTTATAAGCCTTTTTTGTATATGGCTCACTGATGTATTTTTTACCAAGAGCAACCCTTAATGGGGGCTCTCGGTCTTCTCCCATTGTAATCATTACTGTCTCAGTAATACAATGCTAACTTTCTTCAAAAAAAAGTTTAATTGATCCTCTGCCTAGGGTTTGTGTTTTCGGTGAACCCATGGTACTGAGAAAGGGATGCGAAACGAGCACTTGTAGACAACTTCGTGATCGTACAGATGAAGAAATTGAAGACCTCAGAAGCCAAGTTCACCAACTTACACAACAGTTCAACAACATCAATCATGGGCAAGACAAAGATCATTTGGCTTAAGAAGTTCGGCTCCGTGTCAAGATTCGGGCGAAGAGGAAAGTGATAGACGACCTAGACGTGGGGGGACATCCCTCCAAAGTTATGATTTGAAGGTGACAATTCCAGATTTTGATGCAACTTGTATCTAAATTCAGTAGGTTGTAGATTGGTATCCGCCACCAATCTTCGACGCATGCGCAGATGAACAAGATCTTATAGGACATCCGACCTATGATGATGGAAAAGATTTCATGGTTGAACTGTTCTTTCACAAAGAAAAAAGATGAAGGACACCAAGGAAAATCAATAGGTGAAGTTATAGGTACGACCATCCAATCTAGTATTCATCTCGAAGATGTACACTTGGTTTTTTCTAGGGCTGAGCCAACGCAATTTCAACAGAATTATATGGCAGAAGATGCGATTTCAGCTAGTAACTGCGACTAAACAAAGCATATATACCACAGCTATGCTATTGACATATAATGACCCTTTTCTCAAGGATTTGTATAAAGTATTTATGAATATACCAACTAATTGAAAAGAGCCAGTTTCAATGCATAATCGTTGTGTTCAACAAACAAGTCCCAAGATCATCGTTACAATGTTCAGGTTGAAGAGGACCTTGGGCTCAGCAAAAAATTCACTTTGGCCTATCTAAAAACTCGAGGACAACTTCTCTTCAACCATAAGAGATTGATGTAGGAAAAGAAGCCTCATATTTTTACACTCTTCTAATTAAATTTTAAGGATGTAGTTTTGAAAGCTTTAGGGTTCTTAAGTCTTTCCAGGGATTCTAGGTTTTCTTTTAATATCTATTAAGATCTCACAAGTTATCTAGAAAAGTAATTAGAGTGCTTATGGAATTTATTTTTTTTATCGAGGGTAAAAATAACATTACGAATTTTGTTTTACATAAGACTTCTATTTCAACTAGAAATACAATTACTACAATTACTTGGGTTCTAAAGGGATTTCTTTTATTAAAGGGTTTCTTGGATTCTTCAACTAAAAGTCATAGAGAAGGCTTGGTAGCACTTCCCAAAATCCCTCCCTTAAAAGGTACTCTCAATTTTTTTTTCTTACTTAACCCTAATCCCCTCTACTCCCTTCCTCTCCTTTCTTTAATTTTCTTTCCATAATCCTCTTTACTCCTCCTTTCTTGCTCGTCTTCCTTTGTCTTTCCGTGAATTCTTTAGTATTCTTCATCCTTTCCTAATTTTTCCCTTTCTCCTTTACTTTTCATGTTTCCCTCTTTCTTTAATTTTATGCATTTATTATAACCCCCAAAACTAGCAAAGACTCCGCATTAGAAAATCCCCCCAAATTAGCAAAGACTCCCCATTTGAAAAACTTTTAAGGTTTTAATAGTAACTCATAGGTCCCTTAAAACCTTAAATCTAATTTTGCATTTAGCATCAAAATCCAAATTCCTTTATATGCCCTTAGAATTAGTTGTGGAGACCTACAAAACTAATGCAAAGTTATTATACACCCTCTTTTTCTCTCTATGGTTGTAGACCAGCCTTAAAAGTGATTTGGATCAACTTTATTTAGCTAATTTTGCATAAGGACTGATTACAATCCATTAAATAAATTTGTATTGATTCCTCAATATACATATCAGAATCTGTTTCTTGAGGAATGTTTTTTACCACGAATAATATTTAAGCCAAACAAACAAACAAAAGTTGAAGAATGTGTTTTTATGCTGAATTCATCTTAGCACATTTCCAAACTCGATGACAACTTTTCTCCAACCAGGGGTGAATGATGGACAAGCAAAATTATTTTTATTTTTTATCTTTATTCAATTTTAAAGGATGCATATTTTGATTTTACTTTTAGGGTTTGATTACAGCTTTTAAGTTTTTTTTTTGAGATTCTAGAGTTTATTATATTTTCTTTATTTACTACCCATAAATATTATTCACGGTGTTGTCCATAGTTACTATTCATGGGTATTGTTCACATGTTACTGTTGACAAGAGTATTTTTGCACTTCTAGCATTGTTTTAGGGGTATTTTAGAATATTTAATGTTTACTTGGATCTCAAGTAACATTAGGGTTATAAAAGATTGGATGCCACATTTTGAGAGACAGATGTTATTATAATGAGTTTTATTTTATGAAAGAAGAAGAAAGTTCATATTCTTATGGTTTCATTTACAACTATGTTTTTTCTCTATAATTGCTAATGTTACTTGTTTAAGGTCAGGAAAATGGTGGATCTAACTTCCCAACTATCCTTCTTGCATCATAGGGGAAGGTTGACATTTCGAAGGAGATTATTTTTAGTTTGTTGCGGTGTTTTATAGTCTCTTAGTGAAGGGACTTATGGAGGATTCTAATAATGTTTTTAACTTAAGTGGGAGTAGTTTAGCCTTTTTTTATTATAATGTAATAAAAATGTCTACGGTGTTTAGGGTTTCCGGCACTTTTGAAACTTGTTAAAGGTTCTTCTTTAAATTTCAGTAAAATTGAAAGGTGCTTAACATCTAGTTGTATTCTTGAATCCAAACAAATGCAGACAGATACATTTAGCAGAAGAGAGGGAACAAGAGAAATGGTTTTTAGGGTTTCTATCATGAAACTAGTTGAAGTTTCTTCTTCAAATTTCAGGAATACTGAAAAGTGTTTAACATCTAGTTGTATTCTAGAATCCAGACATATGCAAACATATACATTTAGCAGACGAGAGAGAACAAGGAAAATGGACAAAAAAACAAAGAAAATTTAAAAAGAAAACAAAGATTAAGCCACAATTAGTGATGTAGGACAAAATTATGCTATTGTTGTGGAAGTGAGACCAGCAACAACGTTCCATAAATGAACAGAAATCTACGGCATATATCCAAATCACGAGGGGTTTTACAGAGAATGGCAACTCAAGGCGTGTCCAACTACATAAATGGGTTCAAGAATGGGGCCTGGGTCAAGACAGTAGAGGATGGGTTTTCATAGCACATCGTCTCAAGTTCCATTCCGATGTAACCTTGTTAAAAAAAAAAGGGTTTAACGAGCTATGGCATCGACAAGAGCATAATGAAAATGAATAAAGAGGGTCTAATCTTCAATTTGATTCAATATTCTTTGAATCAGTAGAAGGTCCCATCTTTTATAGTGCTTCTATCTTTGATAGCGATCCTATTTTTGATAAGGAACTTGAAGATCCCATTTTTTAAAGAAAGTCCTACACTTAATGAAGAACAAGATTTCGTGGTTGAAAAGATCTATAAGAAAAAAAGATGATCTTAAGGATATCAAAAAGACGGAACACTTGGGAGATTTAGGCCAATGGAAATAGTGCAATCGAAGTATGATTGATGCAAAATCTGCAAATTATGGCCCTGGTTTCAAGGGGAAATGAAATCCATGTCGAAGAAGCCTCTAAAGACTAGAAAATTGAGTTAGGAGTATTTTACATGATTTTCAATGAGAGTTCAAGGATAGTTGTACTTGATAAATTTACATTGATTCCTCAATACACATATAAAGGTCCTTTTCTTAAGGATTTCTTCTTACCACGAATAATATTTGAGTAAACAAAGAAGAAGAGGATTGAAGGTAGTTTTAATGTTGAATTCATCTTAGTAAATTTCAAAACGCAAGTAAGAGTTTTCTCCAACTAAAGGAGAATGATGCAGGATAAAATTAATTTAATTTTTAAATTTTTAAGTTCAATATATGTATATTTTAATTTTAGTTTCAAAATTTATTTTTAGGGTTTTTATGTTTTTAAGGAATTCTAAAGTTTTCTTTTTATATTTTCATTTACTATTCATGGGTATTGTTCATGTTATGGGTATTGTTCACACGTACTGTTTACAGGGGTATTTCTGGAATTTTTGTAATATTTTGGAGTACTTTAGAGTTTTAGGGTTGGATGTCACATTTTGGGAGGCTTATGTTATTTGGAATGAATTTTATTTAATGAAAGAAGAAAACTCCTCTTCTCTTGCTTGATTGACAGCCATCATGTTTTTCTCCATTATTGCTCACTTTCACTTGTTTGAGATTCAAGAAAAAGTGGATATAATTTCCCACATTTCCTTCCTGCATGCATCATTAGCAGGCGTCTCACAATCAAAATGATCCATCTTTCTATCAAAGAGGCTCAACAGCCCCACCACTTCATTACTAACTGATTGCCTTCTCCACAAGAACTTCTGAAGCTTCAAATGCCAAACCAAAAAGCTCAAATGTTGCATGAATTAACGACGGAAAGAAGCGGAGTGCTAATGAAATACCATGGGATACAGAATGGATCAAGAAATGAGGAACCATATTTTCAAGGGGTGAAACCAATATTAAATTAGAGGATTTTGTTAAGAGGGTTTTGTTCAAAGAACTTGAGGAAAAGGTTGCAGCTACCATGAAGCTCGCACAGCAGCTTCAAGTTTTTTTTCTCATTTCAATTTTAAACTTCATTCTTTGACGTTTGAAATAACTATCAAATAAGGTGTAGTACTGTATTACATGGGGAAAGAACCCTCAATATGAACAAAATAGCCTAGAAGTCTAGCATTCAAAATTCCTTTCCTTTCAATGCTCCATATTTTATTCATTCGGAACCTACCAACTGCGTATCAGAAAATTCGATAATATCAACTTATAAATATGTATAACATAGGGAATCAAAAGGGACAGTACTGCTATATTCCTAAATGATGCAATTAACAAGGGATATAACTATGCGTAAAAAGGAATCATCATTGAAAAGCCAAATGGCGCCTAGAAAGTTCAACCCTTGGAATAGTAGAGAATTCACCAAATGTCTAACCTGTTGCAAATCAAGACTTTGCATTGATGAGTAGTTTCCAGTAGTTAGCATATTCTCAATGGACTTCCCAATTGCTGCCGCAGGAAACCTATCCATGATTTTCTTGACTTGTTGACCTGTGAAAAACACCACATCATAAAATATTAATATAACTAGTAACACATCACCTTCTTAAAGCCATCTAGCAGAATGAATATACTTATTAGAATAAATGAGGTGAAATTTATCAAAAAGTGCCCAATAGATAAACTATTTAACATCCCATACATTTCTTTTGATTGTATTTCAAAAAGCCCATCAAAGGATACATAATCATCAGTTGGAACCGTTGATATTTCAAGTATAGTTTGATAATGGGTGAAACAATAGACAGTTGATATTTTAAGCATGCCTAAATAAATTCCCATGAACACATATGAAGACCAACCATATAGGAAGATCATGCAATAGTAGCTGTCAGTTATAAAGTACACTCCACAAAACACAGGCCAAATTTTTATCCAGACGCTAACAGGGTATAAAGTCCATATTAGTATCATTAATAGCATTTACATCAATTCCTTCCACAAGAAATGTAGTAATCAACATTTAGAAACTCCATTGTATAAATATAAGACATTTAACTCAAAGCTTTGGCAAATCATTCAGCTTCTGACACATTATCTAATTTGCTTTCAACTATAAATGAGTGTTTGCCATTATCTTAATTTTGCTATGAAATTGATTTTCCTTCACTATTTTTAAGAAAACAAAAGTCAATAATAAAAGCAAAACATCCACTTCCCAATTGTATAACCATTACTTATGTTAGGCTTTGTGGCCTGCAAAGGCTTAAAATGATATTCTATAGTGGAATATGCACTTTAGAGGGAGTGTGCATGTTGACTGACCACAGGTTGGGTGGTCTATGGCCATGGACATGTCCAAAACCCCTACCCCTGGGCATATAGTACAAACGATAAGGGTTTTGCAGTGGGTCATCCTTTGTTGCGGTCGGAGAGATGTTCAGGGATCATGTTTGTAGACCAGGTGAACTATGTGCTCTCCTGTGTGCGGTTGTAGGCCTGTGAGGGTAAAGGCCAAAGCATCAACAAATTACCGCATGACATGTACACATTACAGCCACATGTACATGTGCATAGAGAGAGCCCCTTTTTGCATAGTGGTGACAGGTGCTAGAATTGTGCTTAAAGGGTGAACTGAAATTCACATTCCAAGATCATAGTCCCACTATCTATTAACCAACTCTAACAAGCCAATATGAGCCCCTGCTTTGAGACTTTGGGTTAGATAAGAAAATAGTATTGGATCATTGTCCTTGGGGTTAGTGTAGTCCCCTTATTGTCACTAATTTTGACCCTTGGTACTCCACATCTAGTATATTTTAGTTTAACATTAAAAATATTCCTATGATTTTAAATATTTTTTAGATTTTTAAAGTATTATTTCCGCTATAATTTTCAGCAAATGGGTATTTATAAAAATTTCATATATTAATAAGCACATGTGGGGACAAGGATCCAACCCCACATATATGTGCCACCCATGTGGTGCCCACATGACAGCATAGGGTGGCATGCCACTTTTTTTTATGCATAAAGGGGGCACACCACCTTTTTAGCAAAAAGGTGGCACGCCATATTTTTTAAACAAAAAGGGCTCCATGCCATTTATTTAAGAAAGAGGGGGGCATAGCCCAATTTCCTGATATTTCTTAAATTTTAAAATAAGTTTAATTTGCCATGAGACTTTATATGGAAACGAGGGCATGCCATGGTTTTAGGAAGTGGGGTGCACACCCCACTTTCTTATTGTTATTCAAAATTTTATTTTAGTTATAGATAAGGAACCTTATGATTTTAAACTAGATGTGGTTTCCTGGGAGATCTATGATAAAATTTGATTATATTTCAATTTTAAATAGAATTTGGACTTCGGTCAAAATCTAACGGGATAAGGTTCCCATATTTCCCTCAAAATAATGATGACTGATTTTTGGGATGGATGGCTCTGACAATGTTTTAAACTGCAGCCGCATCGCCACATATGCGGCCGCATCAGGCGGTATGAAGTGCGCTCCGCATCAAAACTGACCGCATATGCGCTTTCAACCTATCCGGCCGCATATGCGCCGCATCGTAGCTGCATCCTGCATCGCACCACATCCCCTTCCACCGAATTGTTTTTTATTTTGGCCCTCGGGGATGGGCAAAATAATCTTTTTGACCATCCAAAAATGGGGGAAACTGTTTGGGGCGTATTAAACCCCCGAAACGATAATTTCCAGCCACTTTTGTGGCTCTTTTTGCATCAAATTCAGGGAAAAAAAATTTTGGCGGAAATTTATTTTTCATTCAAATCTTCGATTGGCGGTTGTTTGATATTTGGATGTTGATTTGATGCTTTTGATGGTTAATTTGGGGATGTTAGGGTGAATTTGTGATATGAAATTGGGGGGCAAATTTTGACTTCAAATTTCAAAATTGAGCCTCAAAATGGATGATTGTATTAAGTTATTAACTGTTAACTCTTCTTGAGCTTGACTTTTGGTTTGTAATATCATTATTTGGGTTTATGGTCGTTTAGGGTTGTGCTTATCATTGTTGATAGTTGTGCTTTAGTGCTTATGGTTGTGCTTATGGTGCAAATTTGTGCTTATGGTTGTTGATTGTTGAATGTTTTATGAAGCTAGTTTCAAGTTTCTAGTTTCTATCAAGGGACAGTGGATAATTGGATACAAAATCTCCGACAACTAATACTTTTGAAGTTAATCAGTAAACTAAAATACCTATTATAACATATATCACCTCCATATTTTTTTCCTATGCATTAACCTATTTTTTTAGGCTTTTTAGAATTTTTTTACATTTATAGACCGCATCGTCTCCATGCGCCCGATTCCGAACCGTATTGGCCCCCCCACCACTTTTGGCCGCATCCCGCATTTTAAAACACTGGGCTCTAATTAAATCTCTCACCCCACAAATTTCCTATTTATCCTAAAGTCTGGCTGGAAAATAAAGACAAGGCTTACCTAAGGAAATCCTATTCAAATTAAGATAAAAATTTCCTTCTATTTAAAGATCTTTCTCTCCCATGAAAAAGATATAAGAAGATTCTCTCTCGCACCTACTTCACTCTCTTTTTCTCCACGCCAAGATTCTTCTCTCTAAAAATGTTTGAAGTCACATGCCTCCCCTCCCTTTACCCCATAGGGAGCCACGCCACCATCTCTCCTCTGTATTTTTGTGTTAAGTCACCTAAAAGAAAAATAGAGATGGTGCTATAGTGAAACCCTAGAGCAAAGGTTTGTTGTATTTTGAAAAGAAGAAAGGAGAAGCCCAGCTTAGAAAGCTCAATTCCCAAATTCAACCCTAGTTTGTTCCCCTAACGTTTTTACAAACCCTAGATAAGATTTTGAGCACTCTAAAACACTAGATTGAAAGGTTTCGCTTGAAAAACTTCCCCATCTCAGATTTTCCAGCAACACCTTAAGGAGTAAAACTGTCATTGGTCAGGGAATTAGATTTGGGGTATACCAAGTCCTGGAAGAGTAATTCCAAGCATTTTCCAGTGAGTATTCCTAGTAGTTTTAAATACTTTTCACTATTATTTTCTATTTTCTGTGAATTTTCAGGAACTTATTTTGTGATAATTTATGGTGAAGTTAGTTTAAACAAAGATCCTAGGTTGTACCTAGGGCACTATTTTTATTTACAGCGATATTTAGCGAGCTTTGTAAGTATAATTCAGGTATTTCGAATCAAAGTAAAGAAAAATTTTAATTTAATACCTTGAGTTCCATATAGCCACACCTTTCAACTCTCACATAACTCTTCCAAAACAAATAAGACCCCATGGTTATACACTAAATGGGACCTGAAATAAGACTAGTGTCTCCCACTCGTCGCTTATTAGGGCTAAGAATCGGGTTCGGATCCATCGGGATCCGAATTCGAATCTGAAAACTAGGAATGGGATCCTGATCTGGATTCGATTGAATCCAAAATATTTGGATCCAAATCCGGATTTGAGAAGTATACATGGGATCAGAATTCTACATGGGATCCGAATCCGAACCAGGTCGATTCAAAAAAAATTATTTTACATATTATTTTATATCTTTAAAATAATATATAACAAAAAAATACTAGACACGAATAATAATATATAAAATGGATTGAATCCAACTTGGTTCGAATCCGGATATATAATATTAGACACGAATAATAATATATAATAATTTTCATAAATGGATTGAATCTAGATCAAATCCACTTGCACCCGAATCCGATTCGAACTATTTGGATCCCAATCTGACCTATCAGATCCAAATGTTGGACCCATACCCAAATCCAGATAGGGTCCGAAATTCAGATTTCGGATCCAAATCAGGTAAATCCTTAGCACTATCGTTAATGCTATAATACGGGTCCAACCCCTCCTAGTGCACATTACAAAGTGTAAACGAAATAGATTTCCCCAAAAAGGTGGTTGACATATTCTCCCAGTGTTTCAAAAAGCGGGCCGCCCAGCACCTGAGCGCCCATAAAAAGCGGATATCCCTAGACACCCTTCTAGGCGCCCGAGAACCCGCCTAGGAGGCCCCCGCCTAAGCGGCCACCCTGGCCTGCGCCTTGCCCACAAATTGGGTGCTCAGACAACAAGAGAGAGATAGAGAGAGAAGAAAAAAGAGATGTTAGAGGTAGGGGAAGAAACGAAGTGGAGAAGAAAAATAGGAAACAGAAAAACCTAAAGAAGAAAAGGTGGGCAAAGCCCTACATATGTATAAAAGATGCCATCTCGAAACGAGTAACAGGGTGCCAAAAGGTTAGACCTCTCCGGGCTAACTATAGTGAGGTTTGGACCCTGGCAGCCGACAAAAAGACAAAAAGATCTGGTGAGAGCTTTGGCCCGCTGCAAGATGGTATAGAAGCTGTTGACTCTGTTTTGTGGTGATGATGTCTAACTTCTGGTGATGAAGAGATCACATAGCAGCATGGAGTGTAGCGCACCCAAGGAGGTTGTATTAGAAGGTGCCTTTGTAGATGATGACGTAATCCAACGGACACCCACTGAACAAAGCATAATACTCCTCCTCAGATTTAATATACTC